GTCGAACTTATATTTTACAGAAAAAGCTTTCCCTGCTTGGTGCTGCACAAAACAGACAAAACTTTGAAGGCAGTAATTTTCTCAAGTGGGCGTCTATTGCACCCACCGAGTACTGTGTTACCTATCTGCCTTCGGACTGCCCGAGTTAGACCTACTAAAATCCTCAGGGCAGTCACTTTTCACAAAAACGTATTGGGTTTCAATCTACACCAATGAATTACGCTCTTTTTAGCTTAGACTTAGTGTCGCGAATGTTTTGTTTTGGTCTGGTCTTTATTGAAAGGCAAGTTACCAGTGCAGTCACTGATTCCTAGCCTGTCTGTTAATAACCTAATACCTCTCACTGTAGTCTTTCTTCTGTTTACCTAAGTCCTTTAATAAAATAATACCCTTCCGGGCTGGCAAAATTGAGACCCCTCCGGATTGGCAAAATTTAGACCCCTCCGGATTGGAACCCCTCTGAGTTAGCAAATGTAAGACCCCTCCGGATTGGGACCCCTCTGAGTTAGCAAATATAAGACCCCTCCGGATTGGGACCCCTCTGAGTTAGCAAATATTAGACCCCTCCGGATTCGGACCCCTCCGAAATTTGAAAAAAATTTCGACCCCTCCGGATTGGGAGCCCTTTGGTTTTGTAAAAGTAGCTTTTCGGAGATTTCCTTTTTTCAACCTATAATCCTCCGGATACGTTCTCCGATGCTATTTTGCTTTTTAGATTAACTAGGAAGGCTATGTAAGGCTTTCCTAGACCCTTCCGGATTGAAGTTAAGCCTCTTATTTGACAATTCACGCTAACGGTGAAGGGCCTTATCGCTAGCCTAACTTCGGCTCGATTAAGGTTTTCCTGTGCCTTTAGCCTTCCCTTTTCGTCTAGAACAGCCTAAAGTTACTTTATTCAACCGCTATTACATTTTGGTAGGGGTGTAAGGGCTTTCCTAAAAAAATTTATAAAACGTGAAGGGTCTACCCTCCCAAATTGGTGAATTTGCTAAAAACAATCTCAAAAACTTTTCACGCGTACTTTTTCGAAAAAACTTTTGTCCCTATCAGTAAGCTCAGCTAATTTCTGATCTATTGGTACCAAGATTAACTGGATCTGTCCAGTAGTTCCAAAGTTATTAACCAAAACGTCTTTTTTCTTAAGTCAAAAAATTTCTCTCTTATAGGTTCCGCCTAACTTTTTCCGCAATTCTGTTCTTTTCGACCTGAAAATTATTGATCCGAGCTCAGAAGGCCTATACTCTTCTAGTTCAAAGCAAAAGACCCGATCTAAAACGCTTTAGTTGAAAAAATTTGCGAAAAACTATGCTACCTGTACCCCTCCGGATTGATGAATCCACCAAATCAAACACGTTAAGTTCGATTTCTCTGCAACCCGGAAGGCTTTCGGGAAGCGGGTTTTAAAGCTTGTAGATTCACTAGTGGACGTTGTCCGAACAACTATCTTTTACTGTCCTAACTCAAAAATTTCAAAAAATTTTCTGAACTTAAAGTGTTCCGTTTTCTCAAAAATCACGAAAATTCGGTTTTTGGTTCAAAGATAGTTCCAACCACTTCCGAACTAAACTTAACAGGTTCTATCTATTATAGTAGTGCAGTTACGATGTAACACACTACTGTAGCGCTTTTTTCCGTTTCAAAAAATATCGATATCTCAAAAATCGCGATTTGTGGGTGGGATAAAAATATCGCTATTTTGACCCTAAAAACCGGTCTGCTTTCTGTGTTTTTCACTGAAAACGGTATAGGAGTATTAATATAGGCTATATAAGTAATAATATTAGTAAAACTATACCCCTCCGGGTTTGTTTAATATCCGAATTAAGGTGCTTAACTCGGATATTCGCAGTTCTGTGAAGGGTCACTACAGTGCAGCACTGTCGAGCTTCCCACAGATTACTATCTTAATTTTTGTACCAAAAGGGATACAAAACTTGTTAACGATACCCAACAGTCGATTGTTGTTGTCGCTGAGCCCCTTCTTGTTGCTCATTGTACTGCTTGCCGGATCAGTCTTCTCCCAAGACCCCTCCGGATTGAGCGCAAATCAGCTGACCCTTCCGGATTGAGCGCAATTTATCATTAACGTGCTTAAATGCTCAAATAACCCTACAGTACAAGCCTCACAAACGGGCCACAAAATTGATCGTAACGATCCTGACTGATATAAATGCCTGTAACAACAATATATCTATCAACAACAAACGGGGGGGGGTCGGATCACATCTTGTCTGGGGGGATGATTTCTACTGATTTTTTTTACTTTTTTACTGTTTTTGGTTTTTTCGGTTATTTTTTTATGTTTTTTGTTTTTCTTGGGTAGTATACTACTTTTTGTTTGGTTATATATATATATATCTTTAAGTGTTTTTGGTCACAAACCTCTCAGGGAACGAGGGAATGGCCGATCCCCCCACCCTTCCTGATTCGTGAATTTTCGGTCTTAACTAGGTTAAAAAGCTATTCACGGTAATCCGGAAGGCTTCCGCGTTCCGAACTACCCTTCCGCCCCGGCGGTTTAGGCCTATTAAGGGCGTTAATGTGAGCATCCGCTCGGCGCGGAGTGCTCGTCAACGGTTCTGCCGGTCATGATGTTAAAAAGAATAACACCCAGGAGCGCCATAAAAACATCTATGTAACATTCGCCCGGAAGATACATATCGACGGAAAATAAAACTAGGTCCTAAGACGACTGGCTAACGTCTGAACAGAGCTTTACATGCTTATCACCGTCTCTACCAAGCCAGTACTTTGGGTGGTCTTTCTAACATCGGGTCGACAAAAACGTTGCTGCTTTCGGCTTCGGTCAAAACACTCAAATTAACTAGATTACATGCAGAAATAGTGAGCTCATGGCGGGGTCTCAGTATCCCCAGACCACGAGGTCACTCCTAAAATCAGGGCTACTACTATTTATTGAATTATTATTGTTTTTGTTCAGTAGATAAAAATCATCATCTCCATCGAAGATGGATCAACCCTTTCCCCCAACTCCTAGCTTCTCATCTTAGCAGAATGAATTCAGATGTTAATTAAATTCAATTCAGGACATAATAGGGAAGCTAAAAGTTATATAGGATGATAAAAGTTCCAGTCTCGAGACCCCTCCGGATTCTTGAATCCGGGGAAATAAGACTCTTATTCTCCTTCCGGAAGGCTGTCTTCCACCCTTCACCGTTGTTCGCAACGGCCTTGCAACTATTGTAGCGACACAATAGTTGCAACTCGGAACGGTCTCTGCTACTTCTGCAATTTGTTGTTGTTTTCCAATCACAATTCTCGTCGTTATCGCTATCGCAACTAATGTTGTTGTGTTTCGTTTCGGTTTTTTCTCTAAAATGGCCGTTTTTGACGTTTCTTAGAATTGTTACGTCATCAATTCGAATTTTAAAAATTTAGGATTTTCCAAATCCTTCAGCCTTCCCGATTTGTCCAATCGTTCAAATAACGCTCTTATTCCTTCAAAATCGCCAATTCGGAAGGTTCGCTGCTACAAACTCGAAATTGCTGCGTTTGCATTTTGGTGCATTCTGGTCGAATGTCACATATAGTTTTTTTTAAGTTTTTTTTTTGCTCGGCTTAAAATTTTTTCGCCATCTATTATTATTATATACTTAAATGCGGGCTTCACTATCTCGCCATGCTTAAGCTTTTCCAACATATTGTTATTGCATGTTTAACAAAAGTGTTTTTGCACGCTTAAGATATATCGTAAGTTTTTTTTTTCGTTTTTCCAGTTTAAATTCAGCGTTTATCTCATCAAGTTTGACTTTAGCAACTCTATAGTGGAATGCTGTCAGGATTTTCCCAGCTTTTGTGATTCTGGCCTCTATATATGAATAACCAAATCCTTTTAGCTTACGAGAGACGACGTTTTTTTTTATTTAATCAAAAATTTCCAGGAAACTTAAATTTCGAAAATTTCTTTAAATTGAAACTCTTAACCCTGTAGTTGGGTGCTGTCAGGGTACTCTCAGGGGTTGCGAATCTTGCCTGCAAATCTCACTTCTCAAATCTGTGTAGTTTTCGAGATATGATTTTTATGATTTTTTCAAAAATTTTTTCAAAAAAATTAGATTTTAGAAAGATCCAAAACTTTGAAGATCTCAATCCTGTTGTTGGAAACTGTGTGGGTACTCTCAGGGATTGCGAATCTTGCCTCTGAATATAACTGCTCGAGTCCTTGTAGTTTTCGCGATACGACGTTTTTTAAGATTTTTAAACTTTTTTTCAGAGAAATTAGGTATAAGAAAATTCACAAAATTGAAGTTCCCATCTCTATATTGAGGATCTCTCAGGGCAGACTCATTAGTTGCAATTTTTGCCTCCAAATATGACCGCTCTAAACCTTGTAGTTTTCCAGATATGACGTTTTTTGTGATTTAAAAAAAATCGAAATTAAATTTTTTTTTGAAAATTTGAAGTTTCTTACCTGTAGCTGGGGGCTGTCAGAGTGATCTCAGGGGTTGTGAATTTGGCCACGAATTAGGAATGCCCAAATTTTTTTTTTAGTTTACGAGATACGATGATTTTTGTGATTTTTTCAGAAATTTTTCAGAAAACTCAAATTACAAAAAAATTCACAAACTTGAAATTCCCAATCCAGTAGTTGTGTGCTGTCAGAGTACTGTCAAGGATTGCGATTGGTGCCTTCTAAAAAGGCTGCTCGAATCTGCTGTTTTTCATGCTACGTTTGTGTTACATTGGGTTATTATTATTAATCGAAGTTCAGCTTTTCTTAAATTTTAAGAAAAAGTTCCACCTTCAGATTGCGAGGGGGTAGATTTCACGAATGATTTGCCATATAAACAGACAAAATTTGTTTGAAATTATACAAGGGCATGTTGTTAGCCCGATCAATTTGAGAGATTATTAAAATGGTCATCACTGAGTGGTTAAGAAGTGTTTTTTTCTCCATAATGTTTCATAATGTTTTTTCATAATGTTTCCTTCACGCTATTCTAAATAGGACTAGCATCTGAATAATTCTGTCCTTTCAGGCGCACATCAGAGAAGAGTCGAATGGATCTGCACTTCAAGACGGTCAATCCAGTGTCCTTTCGGATCCCATCTCAGCCAACAACGTGCTGAATGGAGACGCCAGCTTGATAGCTGTAGATATCTCAGATGCCGTTTCAGAAAGCAACAAAGTCAAATTCACAATCCACACTAAAGTGAGTTGGAAAAATTGTAGCCGTAGTCACCATGTGACTTCCTGTTACTCGTAGGAGCAAACCGAGAAGTATTGATCAAAACTTTTTGCTCAATTGCATAACTTTGAAAACAGCAGTTTTAACATAGTGGATTATAGCTACATGGTCTTCAAGAATAAAAAATTAATTCGTTAAATTTTTAAAGAAATAAAAATTATTTGAAATAAATTTGTTTCAGACCACGCACAAAGCCTTTGCTAAAAAGGAAATATCTGTCCAGAGAGAACACGAAGAGTTCATTTGGCTTCACGACACACTCAAAAGCCAGGAACAATACGCCGGATATATCGTAAGTGGATTGAAATTGGACTCAGTTAGCTAATGTCTTTGGAAGAAATCCATATTTATTGTTGTTAGATTCCCCCGGCACCTCCAAAACCTAATTTTGACGCATCACGGGAGAAACTGCAAAAGTTAAGCGAGGGGGAGAATGTTATGACGAAGGAGGAGTTCACCAAGATGAAACAGGAGTTGGAAGCGTGAGTGATGTTGTCTACGCACTCATCTAATTCTGGTTACCTTAAATTTTCTATAGGCTCTCACTCTGAACTTTAATTCTGTTTTACCCTACTTTGCCCGATGAATTTTGTATTGTTCTACAGTGAGCTCGAAAATTAAATTAATTAAAGATTTTGAAACGTCCTAATGCTATCATTACGCTTGCGATGAGCAAGAGTTAGCAAATTGGAATATAGACTTTTTTCGGGTAAAAATTGTTTCACTCACATTTTTCGCAGTTTTAACGTAGTACGCAATTTTCAAAGAAGTTCCTTTTAATGTTTTTGAATTACTCCTGCAGTTGTTAATTTTTCTAGCCTTGTCTTCATTTATTTTGCTACAATTCTCAGAATAAAAGTTTCAGTTAAAATTTTTTCATGACAACAATTATATTTTTGGTTCTATGGGAAATTATTTAAGTTTCGTCGGCTCAGCTGCCGCTTGTTAATTATTTTTCGAATTTTCATTAATTGCCGTCGATTGTGTTTTCAGCTAAGAGAACATGATTTTAGACAACATTTTGATTTTTTGTGAAGTTGTGATTTTTTGAATTTTTTTTCGTTTTTTTTTGGGTTTGATGGCTTGCTCTTCCTGTCTGCTAGCTTGCATTGCTTTTTTTGTTGTATCGCAACAAAAAATACAGTGTTACTCTTGCTTCGCCTCAGTGTTACTCTTGCGATAAGTCAAAAAATCTTTGCGCTTCCTAGCCAAAAAAGTCGGAGCTTGACATTAATTTCAGGCCGCGTATTAAGTGTCAATGAACGCAGTGAAAACACCCTAATAGGTCATGACGTTTTTTTCTGGAAAAATCTATAAATTGATTTATGATAATATTGATTTTCTAGTGGTTTGGTTTTTGTTTATATTAAAGAATTGTTTTTTTGGCAAAAATCCTGGTATCACAGCAGCCCGTCAGTTCCGTTTTTTTATCTGGTTTCTGTGAATTCATTAGCTTATATTTTTGAACTGATAATTGGCTATGATGCGGTTTAGTATAGTTGTAAGTTTGTTGGAATAGTACTTCGATGCATCGTTTTGTTTTCGTTAGTTACATCCATAAAAGTTCGTATTGTGCTGCTTTAGTGAGTATCTGGCGACGTTTAAGAAAACAGTTGCAATGCACGAGATGTTTCTTCAGAGATTAGCGAAGCACAGTATATTCCAGAATGACCACAGCTTTCAGGTGTTTCTGGAGTACGAGCAAGACCTGATGGTGCGAGTGAGAAGCAAGAAGGACGCACTCCAGGGATTCATCAAGGGCATGTCCAAGTCCATAGACGAAATCGTGCTAGCCACCCAGAAGGCAAGTCTTAAATTAAAACATCGCTCTATGGGTTCATTAATTTCATCTTACTAATGAATAAAAGACTGAAAGGTTGCGTTGATCCAGTTGGTCCGGAAATTGAGCCTTGGTTGGCAAACTTGATCCAGTTTTGATTTTAAAAGTTCCACTTTAATTTATCATCATTTGGCGGGTAGATAACATGCAAATTTACGCAGATAGATTAATAGTTTTAAATTAATCGGGTTTATGATTTATTCGTTCAAGGTCAAGGAAATATTCCATTTCTTCCACCATTTTCTGATAGATGCATTTGATCATGTTGGTTCTTTTCCTGACAGTTTATATTATTACGCTCTCTTGTAAGCTTATCTCTGTTGAAATCATCTTTGAGAAATCTATCCGTCTGTTGCTCTCGCCTCACTCTCTCTCTCTCGGAAATAATCTTTGGATAAATTAGTTGTCCTTAGGGGTTTTCAGGTAAATTTTGTGCTTGAAGCGAGAGAAAACATTAACCGGTTTTTGTTCCGACCATTTGAAAAATGTGGAGGCGTTTTGTGTTTGGGTGTGTTTTAGTTTTTTCTACGTTTTTGTTCACGCAAAGTTAGGTACTACAAATAATCATCGGACTGGTTTGGGTGATATATCAAAGTAAATAATCCCTTTCAGTTGTGATTTGAACGGCATTCAATAAAATCCAAAAGTTTTTTTCCCAGTGTCAAGAAAAACCGGTTGAAATTTTTGTTCTAATTTTGAGCTAATAAGGTGAGCGTGCAGGCCTAAAAGCCGTTTCAATTATTTTTTTTTTGGTTTTTCTTGTCATTTTTTGTTGCAAAAATTGATTTCCAATTTGCCTACTTTACTATGAGTATCGAGTATGCTTAAGTTCTATTTTTTCATTTATATCTTTTATCACACCATGCAGAAAAAAACGACTAATTTAATTTGAAAAAACTTTTTGTATTTTTTAAGACAATATTCGGAACATTCTGTGCTACTTGCACAGTAACTGGCCATCCTTGCTTACGCTTGCAATTAGCAAGCGTTATCAAACCGGGATGAAGGCGTTTTTGATGTTAACATGTTAAACAAAATCAATCTAGTTATTTACACCTCGAACTTTAGCGAGCGTCGTATTTTAGAACGATAATTTTTACCATTCTAAGTGGCAAATGTTGGTGCCATTTTGGGAATTTTGGGATATCAAATGAACCGAAAAATCTGTTAGTTTCGAACAACAGTGCAATATTAAAAATTTCATTTCAGAAGTTTTCCAACTCAATGTTTCTGGCAATTTGTTTGAAATGCATAGCTCAATCATAAGTTGGCTTCATGTTTTCCAATTTATTAAAGTTAGTTTTATATTCCAAATTGTTACATACAAAATTTGTGTCTTTATATCTGGTGCCACGTTTGCTGCACTGCTTTATTGGTAGCTTATATTAGTAGATTTTCAAGGGCTCGTGGTGCAGATGAGAGGACGCGCGACTCCAAATCTCCCGGTCGTAAATTCGAATCTCCACAGATAGTTCTTATTTGACTTGAATATAGACTTTTTCGGGTTAACAGCTTGTTTAACAGAATCACTTGTATATTAGTTCATAAAGAATTCAAACTTCTACGCGCTCCCGGCAAACTTAGCCTGGAGGTAACGAATATGCCTGGGATGGCAAAGGTCCTGGGTTTGAAATTGACCAGGATCTATTTTTTTTGTAAACGGGAATATTCTCCGTTTCAAAAAAAAAAATTGACGGCTTTTTATTGTCTGCTTATGTTTTTAAGGCTTATTTAATTTTTTTGCTGTATGCAGTTTTCAATTTAGATGCTTCTTTTGTTTTCATTTTCTTCTGCAATTTTTAATTTTTCTAACTTTGACTCCTATATTTTTCCTTTTTTAATTTTTTCTTTCGCTTGAAAAAATTTTCTGCCTAAGAGATTTTGGTTAATACTTATAGTTGTCACACCTTGAAATCGTTTTTTGCTGCCCGCATTTCTCGTTCATGTTGCTTTTAGTGTTTGATTTGCTCCTACAATTTGTAATTTACTTACCTTGACTTCGTTTTTCTTTGTTTGTTTTTGTTTCGCTTAGAAAAAAATTCTTCAGCCCAAATGTTTTTGCCTTTTTTTATCGGCTTAATGACTTTATTTTGGATCGTTTCAGGGGAAACCCAACTTGAGCACTCCCCTCCGAACTTTTCATGTTGGTTGTATGTGTAACAATCGGTTTTTTGTGGAAAATTATTTCCAAATTCATTGAAAGAATTTTAGTTTTTCTCAGATTCTTCTAATTATCAAAAACGTGCATCAATTAAAAGACCGCCTCTTCACGTGTGTGCCTGTATATTCCCTCAGAGTCTTTTTTTTACTTGACCCCTCTGTCTACAGCCTTCGAAAAAATCTCTTGTGGGAATATTTGACCCATGTTTTTGATTTTTTTTTTTCGTTTTTTCAAAACATACCACTCTCAAATCTAAGTTTTCAGTTTCAATGATTAGAGAGGTTTCGAAAAGCTCCCTGAATAAGCAGCTACGCCCATTATTTACAAATAAAGATATGGCCATCAGAAAAGTCAAAATTTTAGTTTTTGGCCGTTTTTTGTAAAAGTTATTGACATTTCTTTAGAATTAAACTCCAAAATCTGAGATTTTGAGTTCAATCGAAATTACAGGTGGCTTGAATCCCTTCTGCATCAGCGGATACGCCTTATTTTTTTACGCAAAAAGCTATGATACCAGAATTGTTAAGTTTTTGATAAGTTGACCTGCCAAACCTGCTATCATAGCTTTAATCAAAACAAAAGGTTGTTGAAAGCAAGCGTACTTTTCTAACTGGCTTTGCCCAGTTTGTTTAAGAAAAAGGTTATGGCCTTCAAACAAGTCGAAAATTGAAATTTTAACAGTTGTTTGCAAACTTTTGGTTTTACGCGAAAACTTCCTGCCAATTCTCAGGTTGTGTTCAATCGAGAAACACGGTTTTGAGAATCTTCTCTGCTTAAGTGGCCTCAACCTACTCTACAGAAAAATGTCGTGGATTTTCGAAATCCTTTGACCGGTTTTTAGATTTTTTGACCGTTTTTTAGAAACTTGATTTTTTTTAAATTCGCACTATCAAATCTTAGCTGAAAAGTTCAACTGAAAGAACCGTTTGCGATAATGTTTCCTGCAGAAGCGGCGGCTCCTTAATTTTTCTAAGAGAAGTATTATCTCCTTGTGAAAATTAATTATCACAAAAAAATTTTACTCTTCTCATTTATTTTAAGAGAAACACCAAAGGTTTTGGACAAAGTCCAATTTTTGCAATCATTTTTTTTCGTGCCGCGCCAGGATAGCAAATTTATGCAATATCAAACACGTACCTCCTCCATCTTTAGCTGGGCCTGATCTTTTTTATCGACATACGAAATTTTTGGCTCACTAGTTTTTTCAACATTTAATTTTTGTCGACTTATGTTTTTTAATGTTTGTGTTGTATCGCAAGTGGTGCGAAGCTCGCTTCGCCTCTGTGTAATTTTTTTTCTTATTCCATGTTTACAGCTTATTTTGTGCCGTTTTCTCAATTGTTTTTTTTTCCAAACGCAACTTCGCCTCGGTTAATATTTTGGCTTAAAATTATTTCAAGTTTCTTAGATTTTGCGGCATTTTTGAGGCAACGGTTACGCCTGTGAACGACTAAAATTGCGTCGTTTGAAGTAAAAAAAATATGATTTTTGGATTTCAGGATGGGGGAGCGTTAACTTCTAAAAATTTCGAAGACAACAATTTTGTTTGCCCAACTGTTGTTGGTTCGTTTGCCCGTCGATAAATGATTCTGAATACTTATTTAATGCCTATGATTGTTTATCTGGGCAAAAAATAAGATTTTTTTTTCAACTTGAACATCAATATTGACAAGATTTTGAAATATTTGTTTTTTTTTCTGTAATTTTTTCATTTTCTTTCGACTTTGTGGATTTTTTTCATTTACTGTCTGTTAGCTTGCAATGATATCTCTTCTTAACCGCCGTGCACTCTTTAAATAAGTGCTGTTGCGACAAGGGAGGCGTTTGTCTGTGTAGATTGTTCCTACTATGAAATTGAAATGAAGTTTGCGTCCGGGTGATTTTTTATACTTTTTTCCAACCAAAGTCCGGTACCTCAATGAATTGTCAGAAAGCGTGAAATGATTCGTGATTTAATTAACGTTAATGAAAATTCAATCAATTTTCGCATTGTCGAGAAAAACCTGTTTGAATTTTTAAACAAAATTAAAATGGAGATTCAATCATTAGTTTTAGTCTGTACCCATGTGAAAAGCATGACTATTGCAATTGGGCACTAGACTTTTCCCTCATTAAGAACAGTGAAAGTTAACAGATTTCGCTCGTGATTTTTTACTCGGGTTTTAATTTGCTTTATAATAAGTTCAACCATTCAGCTCATCTGGCGTAGAAAGTGACCTCATGCTTGAGCCGACAAATTCTTGGAGTCCGAGTCCGGCCGAACTTTGTTGGCTTAGTTCCCTTCGGAGTTTTTTGCGGAAATTTTGCGTTTTTCTATAAAAAATGTCTTTTACAAAGTTCTCAAATCGTAATATAGACTTCTTTCATCAAAACACTCATTGAGTTTTTGTCTCTAATCTGTGCTCGCTAACAAACAAACAGACTTATTTTGAGCGTGTCTGCATTTTGAACAGCGAAGTTTGTTTTTTGTTGGCATTAAATTTACTGATTCCGTTTTGGGTATAATCTCATTGCATATTCGGCCTCATAATGCATCGTTTGATGAGCGAAGCAAGATTTTTATGCGTGTGTCTTTTGACGGAGGCGTCAATAGTTTCTTAGAAGTATTTTTTTGGCTCAATGGGTGTCTGCTTAAGAATCGTTGGCTTTTTCTTACTTACCGCTTAGTAAGTTTTGTTCCGATGCTAGTTGAACATCTACTTGTCTAACTCTGCATGTTTTTCCTAAAATTAACTTGATTCAAGGCAAATCGAGACAAATTTATAAAAATGTTGGTAGATCTAGCTTTTTTTGCTAGAACTACAGAAATGGCAGAAAATTCCTCCTTAGATTAGGTTACGACTATTGATCCAAAAAGAACAGCTGTTGTGCCCCTGGTTAAGGTCTGTATGCATTTTTGGCTTTGTTTCCCGGCCAAAAAAACAGCAGTGTTGACTCACCCTCAAGCAACGATCACGGATCATGGGAGGCCTCGAACATTCTACCTTTCGATTGAGAGGCGGAGTTGTTACGACTTCACCACCGCTCCACTCATTTAGCAAAATTGGTAACCAGTTGTACAAAACCCTTTACCTACAAATGAAAACCTTCTAGGCTAGAGGTATAACTAATTCACGCGCATTATACCACTCGTATCAAGCACAAGAGTAGCGGAGCGAAGCAACCTAAGCATTCACTAGTCGCAAATTAAGCGTTTTAAATCAATTATTGAACTTTGCGAGTTGTTGCTCACGTTAAATGTGAGCTGTCTTTAGTTGTCGTGGGCACTACCGTTGATTGCGTTGATCATTTGTGTGGGTAGATCACTATTTCATGTGGGTTTAGGACGTGGACCCGTTTTACGAGGAACAGAAGACTAGTCTGGTGGAGTACAGTAGGAGAGTGACTATTGCGGCCAGACATTCTGAGCTGGTAGTGTGCGCCATGAAAAGAGTCTCCAATTACCTGCTCAAAATAGCCGTCGTATTCGGAGATCTCGCAACTATGGAGGGACCCGAAATAAATAAGTACGCCTCTGTCTAGTCTGTTCTAATGTTGAACGCATGTTTATCGCAAAAAGTTGTTATAATGGAAGCAAGTTTTCCGCGGATTTTTCAATCAAACACTCCAGGCGTGCTCAAAGTTTAATTAGTTGGGGAAACAACCTTAATTCAAAAACAGTTCGATAACAATGGTAGACAAAAAGTGGTAACGTTATCTGCTACCTCGACTCTATAGAAATTTTCTCCTTGTATAAAAAACTGCACCTCAGTCAATAAAAAAAATGAGAGTATTTATTGCAAGGATTGCCAAAATGCAAGTATTGCATCCCTTGTTCTATTTGGAACATTATTTAAAATTTTTTAGAGGGGTATCAGATTGCTTTCAAGTTTTTCAAATCTTAGCATCGAATCATGATATTGGTATTTCTTCTAGAGGCAAAAGGCAAGTTTTTTTTTTCAATATATTTGCTCTTTCTTTTCTCTATTAATTGGAAATGTGTCTTAATCTTAGTTTGACAAGCGTAATTTTAATGGTGCTACTGAATGAAAGGAATTTGCACTTTTTGGGTCGCGTGGGTTTTCGCTTATTTTTTAAAGGAAATTTTTTTATAGCGATTTCAGCTTTGACTGCTTTTTTTAGTGCAAATTAGTGTTGGCCATAAAAATTTTTGGTGAAATTCGAAAAAGCTTTATAAAGTTGTATTTTCTTTGGAAATACCCGTATAAGTTCAATTCATAATAATTTATTAAATGGAAGACTAATTACTCTCTCCGATAACCCGAGTGCAAATGTCGTAAAACGTGAATGATTTTGTTTCGAAAGTATCGATTTAAAATTACAGATTTTCCAGTGGAAAAAGACTAACCTATTGATCCAATTGTCTCAAATCGGGTTGGTATTATAAAAAACGTGTCAATCAAAAAAGATTCTTGAAACTTTGAGGCCATATATTTTTTCGTTGGAAATGCTTCAAAAAGTTTCGTAGTTTTTGTTTTCTTGAGTTTATTGACATTTTCCAATTGTCTGCCGACTCTTTTCAGGTTAAAGTCTCCCTTAACAGAATCTGTAAACCATTAAACTTGCGAGAGCAAGTGTCTTGTAATCGGGAACTAGACTTTTCCCCGAAAACTATTTTTCTCACAAATTTCCAACTTGCTTTATTGTTGAACCTTAACAATTTCGAGGTTTGAGTCACGACCGGACTTGTTTTTTTTTCAGTGTAAAACTTTCAGTTTTCTGCTTAAGTTTTGTAGGCTTAGTTTCCTCGTTGCAAATTTTGCTTGTGATGCAGGCAACTTTAGTTGCAAGTGCAAAAATTGTTCATTGTAGTTTTAGGAGCAGCTGAAAACTTCTAAAACTTTTAAAAATAAGTTTTCCGGCTCAACTTCTGTCTGTTAAAAGATTGTCGATTGAATTGCCACATGACGGATTTTACTTGTGCTGAAAGCAATTGTCATTCTAGTTGAAAGTGCAAGTGTTGTTCGTTGTAGTTTTGGAGGGAATTAAAACTTTTGAGATTTCTTAAAACATCTTTTTTTTACTCAAATTGTGTCTGCCCAAATATGGACGCCTAGATTGAACTTCTATCGAGACATACGAAAATTTAAATTTTGGTTGGCCTAGTTTTTTAAACATTTTTCTCAACTTTGTATGTTTTTTTTAATGTTTATATTGCTTCTTTGCTTACATTCAATGCAAGTTTTTGTGGCTGTAATGCGGATTTGGTATACAGGTAATCTACATGCTTGGGACTTTATCGGTTTTGCAAAAAGAAAAATTTAAGTTTTGAAAAAATCAAGTGTTTGATTTACTTTGTCTGCCTATTTTTTCTGCTGGATTTCCACAGCAAGAAAGTTTTTGCTGCTTTCTGTTTTTGAATGCCATTTTCAATACTCTTAATTTTGCAAGTAATTGATTTTCAATTGAGTGTTTGACAGTTTTCTTTTTTTTTGGAATTTTTTTACTGGGACTAATTTAGCGCGTTATCATAACCAAATCAATGAGTTAAGTTTTTATTTTCCTATTTTTAAAATTCTGAATACAAACGTTTGATAAAAAAGCTATTCTTTTAATGATCATTTTTGGACTATACGCGTGTTAGTGAATGGGTCGTGGCTTCTCCAGTAAAACTTAGTGAATGGAAATTATGAAGTCTGTAACAATTGTTTCGCATAGCCAGTTTTTTTTTGTTTCTCTTTGGATATATATTTGTGTGTCATATATGACATTGCTTCTTTTTAGATAAATGTTTTGTGGTATTGTTTCTTTTTAGATATGTTTTTAGAAAATGTGGGAAGTTTCGTTTTCCCTGTATGTTTAGGAGTCGACGAAGAGTTAGGACGTAGTGAAGACTATTATATAGGTCGTGATATTTTTTTCATTTTTTTTCAGGAATTGTTCTGGCTCATATTTGTTTTTTCGCGCTTCGGCTTTTCATTTATTTTAAAGATCAATCTATTTCTTTTGTTAAAAGGAAGTCAAACCCCACTATCGAACAGGTCACGAAAAACGTGATCGACTCCAACTTCGAAAACGGAATTGATCCAGTTTTCTCAAGTTGGTTTAGTTTTATCAAAAAATTTTCTATAATCAAATGTTCTGGAAATTCAAAGTGCTTTGAGGGGCATCTATTTTTCTCTTAATTTTCGATAATTGAGATTTCAAATAATAAATCATTATTTTTTTCTCTTTACTTGCGTTCATTGACTCTTTTCCTACTGTCTGTTGGCTGTGGCTCAAGTCAGTGACTCTTGGTCTAGATATTTGGGTTGAGTCCAATAGTTTCAGCGGTTGATTTAAAGCTTCATTTTTGCTTTTTTTTCTGCGCCATTCTATCGCTTGTTTGCGAAGTACAACTTCGCCTTTGCTAAAAAATATTGCTTTCTTTTCTTAAGCTGTTTGAAACCTGGCTGTAAAATTAGCGTCTATCAGTTTACACGAATTAGATGTTAGATTCTTGGTATCAACATAGTTTTCTGATATCATAACAGAGATTTTTCAGTTATAATCTGTTTCTGTTTCAGGTTTCATCAGATGCTTGCCGAAATCTTCGAAAAGTTACGGGTAAGATGCATCATCGATATAATCTTATAAGCTGGGAAACACAGTTTATCTTCGTCTAGCATTGAATGTTCTGAAAATAAATTCCTTGTAATTGCTTACGATTAACTTCAAAGATCATCGATCAATTGTTCATTTTGATTTGAAGTTTATCAAATTTGTTTTTTTTTCTATTCATTTTGGCCACGAAGTTGTTGTTTTCTTTTCTGAATTTCAATGTTAAAACATTTCAAAAAACAGGGGGATTTTTAGGTTTCATAAATTTTGAATTAGTGGTTGACGAAGTATAACTGCATAGGGCTCAAAATAATCATAGGGTAAACTCAAAAAGGCGTAGATTGCAGATTGCAATATATATGGTATAATAACTCATTAGTTCAACTCATTAACATTAGTTCAACTTTTGGCCAGTTGCTTTTGTTTCATTTTAAAAATTTTTATCACATCTGAGAGGGCTGCAATTTAGGAGGGTATCTAAATTTGGGCATCGCACTTGAGAATACAAAAATTTTAGTGTATAATTTAAAAAGTGGGTGAATTTGAGACTACTTTTCATTCAAAAAGTAGGAAATAGATGCTAATTACATTCGAAATTTAGGTCTGTTTTAATTCCAGTTTTCATGGCTGATAGGCGTTGCCAATTAATGGTGTCGTTTTTTTCCTGTCAGGTCTCGTAAACATCATTTCCGGTAGTTCCTTTTGTCTCAAGTCTCCCGTTGTATTTTGTAGATTCCATGTTGCTTCCAGTATACTGGTTTGCCTTGTTAGTCAAATCAATTTCCTAATTCGCCCTAATTTGTATAAGATAAAAACAGTACCTTATTTCTGTCTTAGTTCCGTTAATGTGATAAAAAATTTCTCTTCAATCAGTTCAGGTTTAGAAGTGTCATTAGCGTCATTAAGTGTCAATGAATGGACCGTTAGGGACCCACAATTTTGTTAGGTCTTGTGATTTTTATTGTTAGGAAAAAAAGTTTCAAGTTGTTCAAGCTGGAATTTAATCCGCAGCTTGACTTTCGAGTTCTTTTTAAGTAACCTGAAAAACATTTAGCAAATCAAGCTGAGTTACTCTTTACATTGGAACCAGTACAAATTGCATGGGAAAAACCGATCGGGTTTTCAAATCAATTTTAAATAGAATTAATCTAAGTGGATTAAAGTTTTAAGATTTCCCATTGGAATAAAAAAAGCAAATCACTATCTATTGATCCAGGTCAAAAAGGCCAGTTATAAAAGATTTTTTTAAAATTGAAAGAGCTATATGCTTATATAATCAATTCTTTGTGATAAATGTTTGGAAAAAATCAATCATTCTATTTACATTTTTCCATCTGCCTGATATATCTTTTTTTTTCAGGCGAAATATAAAATTTTTGCGAGCAAAAGTGAAAATGGCGCGAAGAGAGGGGCAAATAACGAGCTCTCTTTACGAAAATGCAAATGGACCAAAAAAGCCTGTTATTTTATTTTGGTTTCAAAAGTGGTTTGTAATTTTTAGACTACCCAATTTTTCTCTAAAAGGCTTGTTATTATGCTTAACCGATTGTTAAACGGTTACAAAGTTCATACCGGGCCAACAACATACAAATGAATCTGATTGGTTCAGAAAAAAAGGCTGAAACTTTGAACGCAAGTAATTTAACACTTAGAGACTACCAATACGATTGTTGATTCAAGGTCGCTGTTGGCGGGCTACACAAGCGTCGCGCTTTACGGCGATAACTGGCACTATATTTCCTAATGAGTCCTACCCTCTGTCGGTAACCTCGCAACACGTAGGCGACACGTTTGAGCAATTGAAAATTTTTTGTATGCTTCTGGAGCAGTATGCTATTTAAGTTGTATGCTCGTAGACCGCACCTTGTGTTAATCATGTAATATCTCTGAAAGAGTTTTAAATCATACAATCTTCTTTAAACTCAAAGAGTTTTAAATCATAAAATGTTCTTGAAGTTTTAACGTGATTCATTTTTTCTCAGAAATTCGAATTTTTTTTATCGGTTTTCTGGTTTCTTGGCACTTTTCTGACTTTCTGTAGGCTACATTTAATCCTCGTATTCTGCTTTCAAATCTCCGTTTAAGCTTGGCTTTAACTTGCTACTATTGTTACTTAGTTATTTTTTTGGCTTGCGTTTTACTTACTTTCCAAAGCATAGGCTTCTTATTGATTTTAAACAGTTTTCACTATGATTGAAAATTCTAAAATTTGTGATTTTTTTTTCGTTTTGATTTCGATTAAACGGTTTCGGCTTATGTTATTTGTGGCTAGTCAAATAATGTTGCGTAGTTTCGAGTGAAAAATATTTTTTATGCTTTTATGCGTTTCGTAAAAACTTTTAAAACCTTATAGTTCTTTAAAAGCTCTTTGCCTCTGTGTACATAATTGGTGCATATTGACAATTCTTGACAATTTTTTTGCTTACCTGAAGATAAAGATGTGCTTTTTGACTCTCTACTTTTTATTAGCCGGCAAAATATCACTCGCCAAATCAAACCGGAAATCCTACCGATCACATTTGATTGCATTCTCATTTCCTCACAACTCAATTACTGTTCGGTACAAACCGGAGTTGCTCACAAAACACTGGTTAGCATCTTTAATGTCATCGAGAGCAGTGTGCTAAATTATTGGAGCCTCTTTGTGGTCCCTTGGACACCGACCAAAATTGCACGATCTGAAGTAAGCTGCAAATAAATCAGAACATAGTTTCAAAAAAATTTCATTTTTTTTTAAAAATAGTATGATTTTTTTTCAATTTTTTTTATTGAAGGCTAATAATTACGAGCTATTTTTGCCACGTATTAAATGAAGCTTCTAAAACTAACAAGCATTACTTACTCGATCGCTTTACTCGCTCGAAATAAGACTCAAATAAGACATAAGACCCACTGAAAGTTACTATCTCTGCCCTATAATTCGAGAATGTCAGTGACTAGAGATTTTTGCCTTATTTTTGGGTTCTTTTCCTTTTCTTGGAAACCACCATGACAAAGCTGAGGTTAAATGTTCAATCAAAAGAGTGTGTTCTGGGGATCTCCCCCGCATAAGTTGCTGCGCCCGAACTTTGGTAGATTTTTCCCCCTAAGAAAGTTTAATAAAATTGTTTTATTTGAAAACTATCTTGCCAAATCTGATGTTAAGGGTTTTAATTGAAAGAACAGAACAGTGAATCTTTGTTGCACGACTGATGTCGCCCTAATTTTTGACGAGAAGTTTTCGCCTTGAAAAATGGACCATTTTTGAAACTTTGCTCTTTTCTTGAAAATTTTTTGAATTCTCGAAAACTACCCTGGTAAATTTGAGGTTAAGGGTTTAATCGAAAGAACAGAACAGTGAATTTTCGCTGCACGGTTGCTGTCGTCCTAATTTTTGACGAAAAATTTTGCCTTGAAAACTGGACCATTTTTGAAACTTTGCACTTTTCTTGAAAATTTTTTGAATTTTCGAAAACTACCCTGGCAAATGTGAAATAAAAGTTTTAATCGGAAAACAAGGACTAGGAATTTTCTCACTGCAAAAGCAGGAATGCCCTAATTTTTTTTGAAATATAGACCGGTTCGTTTTTCCAAGACTTTTGCCAAAAACGACCCTGCCAAATCTGAGACACAGGGTTCAATCCAAAAAACAAGCGGTAGGAATTTCTCTGCATAGCGGCCACGTCCTAGTTTTTGTAGAAAAACAATGTTGATTTCAGGAACAGTCTATGTTTCGAAATTTACTAAGTTCCGTTTTCTGGAAATTTTTGGACTACGCTGCAGAATATAAGATAAACGGTTCAATCGAAAAAACGTGTGCTAGAGGATTCTTTGCATAGCAGATACGCCCTTGTTGTTGTAGAAAAGCAATGTTTGACTTTAAAAAATTTCGTTTGTTATGAAATTTTTTCATTTTCTCGAAAACTACGGTGCCAAATCTGAAAATAAAGGTTCAATCGATAGAACAAGCTGTGTACCAATTTTGAAATCCGGCAAGAAAAATTTGATTTTTTTACCCATTTTTAGACTTAATTCAATTTCCCAAAAACCATGTGCCAATTCTGCAAAAAATTACACGAAATTAATCAAACGGAGATGTAATCTCTCTTGCAAAAGCGTGTTGTCCGATTTAACTGGGCTGCTAGTGTTAAACTATTGTTAAGCGGCCATGGCGCGGATGCTAGGACGTGTGACGTGTAATATCTAGGTCGGGTGATCGATTTCGGTATATGGAAAATTTTGTAAAGTTTTATCTTGTTTTTCGTTTCACTTTTTGACATTTTTACACCTTCTTTTTTGTCCTTTTCTTGTTTGTGCTTAGAATTGGAGCTTCCCCTTTGTTTTTTTAACCTAATCACTTTTTATTTTGTCATTTGAAAAAGGGTCGGGTGAAAATGGATGGCGAGCGAGTTTTGAGACCTAATAATTTAAAAAGAAAATTGGCGGCAAAGTTTTTACGGCTTCTTGTTTTCGTCTGAACGCTTGTCCTATTTGGTTTTAGGCTTAAACAGGTCGTAATTTTTGCAGGTTCACAATTTTTTCAATAAAATCGGCCCGACTGATATCTGTTTAATTACTGTCGGCTTATTTCCGGCAGTGTAAAATTTGATAGTTTACATTCAGCCTAATTGAGTGTTTTATTTCTAATTTACCTTAGTTGCAAAAATTTTAGATTTAGAGAGTTTCGTCTTTTTTTTCCTGTTAGCTAGCTGATTGTGTTGCTATGCAAGTCGTGCGATGCTCTGCTTTGCCTCTGTATTTAAATTAATTTTTTTAGTGGTTTTTGTCTAAGTTTTGATTCGCTAGCCCACCACGCCCATTTTAGCAATGTTCACAACGCTCATTTTTGGTAAACTGATACTCTAGGCCGAAAACACTATTTATTATAGGCTTGATTAGCGGCAATGGTTACTACTTTGCGTAGACAGTGAGCGCTCAACAACCCTTAGTTCTATGAAAATGAAATTGAGATAAAAAGCCGGTATCATTGGCACTTGTATTGAAAAATGTTTTCTGTGTAGCAAGTT